TGCTCTCCTGTTCGCCACCTCAGCACTCCTATGACGATAGTCTAGATGGAAATTAGTCTTGAAGTTTTATTATCCCAACGCTTCTCACGTATCTTACCCTACTAACTGTCCTCTATTCTTCTTTGGAGGAAACAAACTGGGTATCCGCAGCACCCGTCACAGCAATGTAGAATGAACTTGCGCAGCCAATCTCTCCTTTTCGATCATCTACACCTGTCGGAGCCATCGCACTATTCCTCTGAGAACTCTCCTTTAAATGAATATTTCGGATGTTTATTTGTTTTCTATGATCCCTATGTACATCTTAAATTGAACCACCATCTGTCTCCCCTTTATCGTTACCGTTCTTTCTTCCCAGCTCTAGTTATTTTCCTGTTTGCTTTTCTTCTTTATCATTGTTGGCCACTCCTGGGCTGATCTCCTGAGGTGACAGACTGAAGCTTCTTACCTATCTAGTACACCCACGCAAGGCGAATTGCCACATAATCACTGGCGCATTTTAAAAGTGCTGGACTCGAAATAGCTGCATGAGAGAATGGGCTGTGTGTCGGGATTGCCTCGAAATATACAGCTGTCGAAAAAAGATATTGAGTAAACGTGATGACAGCAAAAGTGCACACGGCAGACGCAAAAATAGTTAACTTATTGATGGCCTATTTGCTTGTAATAGTGACCAAAAGTATAAGTGTCCATGTGATGAGAGCCTTTTGCATATACTTGCAGTCAAAAAAACAATAAACAAATGAATAAATGAATCGAGTCAAAATAGCAAGGCTTAACTGCGGATGAAACGTCTCGCATGGAAGCAGGGACCCAGGGGACGGTTCCATGGATTGCTTACTTGAACTGATGAGGATACTTATCATTATTATTACTAACAACTCTTTCTTACACTACTTTTAATTGATGGCAAGTGCCCAACACTTCATATAAAACATTGATATACTTAGACAATTTTCTTCCGTATGTGATTATGTTGTACAATATGGTTGGCTGTTGCTTGATATCCCCGGTGTGGCTGCGCTTGATGTGCATGTTGACAAGGTGCCTACCTGTCTATTACCCACTACCTCGTTCATACTGGCTCCAGGAGACAGTTGGCCGTTGGTGGAGGGGACGGAGTGCACGGTTCTTGTGGCCGTGTTAGGATCAAACAGTGGTTCCATGCACTCAGTATGGAGCGGACTACGGTCCAGCCACCGCCTTGTGTGCGCTTGATCCCCCAAATACAGCATGCTTGTGTTTGCCTATGAAGGAGTGTGAGCCGGCTCCGTTGATGAAACGTAGCTCCCATCCACATGCCTCCCGGTCTTATTCCTTCGAGTTTAACTGGATATGGGGTGTGTGGATGGAGCTTTGGGTGGTGCGACGCAAGCCACCCATGGTGCATCTGTAGGCGCAGGCGTCCTGTGGCTGGCAACAGTGACAGGCAAATCCGAAACCGGATGTCGCCAAACATGATCAGATCAAGTAATCAGTCTGTCTCGCAATGTCGAGAAATACACCATCTACGGAATATGATCAATACGCAGCCAAACCCGGCACATTTAGTCCCTTGTCATCATGTAATGCTTGAGTTGGATGAGAATTACCGGAAAGAATTCTTTACTCAGAATCTGCTTCCGTTGACGCATTCTATTAAATGACAATAGATCCATCGGGTTTCAGGATTTTATTGCACCCCTCTCCTTTTGAGATAGAGGATTGTACTGTCAGTTAGCTGCTACAACTGGTGTAATTGTATACCTTCATTATTTTTGCGTCTCATTGCCAAACCCACTGGACTGGACTGCACTTTTGAATCCGGCCAGGAACACTGTAGTAATAGCATTCTTGAAGTTGTAGTCAAGTCCTTTGATGAGAATTGGTTTTTCTGCAAGGGAAAGCGGCCAAGTGGATAGATGATTTCGGATCCAGTCTTCGTGGGTAGCTTCGCATTTGTCATGAATCAATTACAATAACTTGTTCTTTAATGCCTTGTTTTCTTCTCCTACTAATCTCCACTCTGTATTCTATTGCCAACCTGAGTTGCTCTGTAAACTGTTGTCTCATAACTCCCAGACAACTGGTTGGATGTTAGATAATGTATGGTTAATATTTCTTGATACGGTTGTGGATGTCCGTGAGCATAATTCGCACCATATGTTTTTCAAGTTGTCGTACGACAGATCTTGCCGGTAGATGGTTAAGCGGAATTCTGTAGCTGACGCTGTGGGGGAGCGTATCATTTCGTAAGCCATCGCGAAGGAAAGTTAGCTGCTGCCGTGTGAATGTCTGCAGGGAAAATCCGCCAAAGGGGGCAGTTCGGAGCGTTTAGCGTCCGAAATTGTTTAAAATGACTTGATGTACCGGCAGCTCGGGTTGATCGTTCAGGGTTTCAACTGTTCGCCGAGCTTCGTAATTGGTTTCCAAAGGTTTCACCACCAAACGAGATGATTTCCTTAGTGCGATATTGGTTCGAATGCGCTACGCTCTCTCCCAGTTTTCATCACATACGGGGGAAGAAGGACATTGCCTCGACTGGAACAGCACAGAGGTCTTAGCATAAGGAGAAACACGAAAAGAAAAAGAGTTCCTCGAAGCAGGGTACTCGACGAAGAAGTGGTTAAATATGCACATCGATATTGACTCAGTCTACCAAACGTTAAGATGGAGAAAGCTAAAACAGCTTGAATATCGTCGTGGGAAGCCGAACAAACCAACAATAGCGAAACCGCGACAGACAGGACAAAACCATCTTACGGATCATCCGTGTCGATCAGAGACCTTGAGCAAAACGGCGAAGATCACAGGAGGAGGTCGATACAAAACTCATTTGTTGGTCGATCACAAATCGACAACCAAATCAGTGGACTGGATTAGACCCAGTAGCGCACTGAGAAAGTCACCTCGTTTGGTGATGAAACATTTGGAAACCAATTACGAAGCTTGACGAACAGATGAAACGCGGAAGGGATCAGAAACCTGTGGAATCACTGTGTGGCCATGAAAAAATGATTGAGCAAATGGCCTCACGTAGAATGGTCCGTTGGTCCCTGATTCTCTGCATATACCAAATGCAAGACGTCCTTGGCCGGCAAAATATCACTGCTGACGCCTTTAGTTGGCTTCTTTTACCGGAAATAGACACAGAATAATTTGCCCCACAGAAACTCGTGAATGTGATCCAGCATCTGAACAATCCTCCAACTGCCTCAACAGATATGTGCCGAAAAAACTATACAGACCCTATTTTAGCACTGGTGAAACGCTACGTTTAGTTCGGGTGGCCAGAAAATACAGCCAAAGAATTCATACATTCCCGTAACAGATTGATCGAACTCAGTCTTCACAATGAATGTATGCTGTGGGGTGCACGGGTTGTAGTCCCCAAGAAGTTATCCTGTAATAACTGTATGATGCAAACCCTGGAATCACTGAAATTTAATCGCTTACTCGCTTCGACGTATGGTGGCCTGAGTTAGACAGGGACATTTTATCGAAAGTTGAAGGTTGCGTGTGTTGTTAGTAGAGTCGGAACGCTGTGCCAATGCAGCCATGGAAATGGCAAGTACCACCATGGAAACGTGTCCATATAGACTTTTTCGGCCCTTTCGAAGGTCAGAGGAGATTATTGATGCCCATTCCAAGTGGATTGACGCCCACGTCCTGACTACAGCAAATTCAGCCAACACAATTGTTAAACTGTGCACGACGCTTATGATCTTCGGTCTTCCGGAAACATTAGTGTCGAATAATGGAACAGTATTTATCAGTACGAAATTTTCTGCCTTAGACATGTAACTACTACGCCTTATCATCCATCATCAAACGTTTTAGCAGAGAGAGTTATGCAGACAGCGAAGAACATGCTACTAAGCCAATCAGCAGCCCCGCTGCGTATGCGCCTAGAGCACGTCCTTTTCGTTTACCGAGACACGAAAAACGAAAATACCGGTAGAAGTCTCGTGGAAATAATGTTACGCCGGCGGTTTAGTACACGGTTGGATTTATTGTGCGGCATCCTTGGGTCTGATGTTGGCAAGAAACAAGAGCCGGCAAAGTACGCTCTCATACCGGCAGCAGTGATAGACTCGTAGAAGTATCTGATCCCATCGATGTCCGTTACCTACAGATGCTCCCCGGACATATATTTTGTCACAGTTATTACTTGCCCGCTTTCGTTTCGCCACCGTTTGTTGCCGGACATTTGTTTAAACGCATCATTCCTTTGCTTTGATTGGCCGGCCCACGTCATTCGTAATGGATGCCATCTCAGGGGTCCATTTCCGCTGATACAGTTTCCTTGACCTCGCGTGATTGGCTCTTTCGTTTACCACTTATCATTGGCCCGTATTATTCAGTGTCACCTATGTTGATAAATGGCTCGAATGTGTTGATAGCCTTGCTACAACTATTGCTGTACCCTGTTTAAATGAAGCAAATTTCTCGTGCCTTGTCTTCCTTCTCTTTGTGGTTGTGGAGTGCGAACAGTCGGCGGCGGCACAACAGCAACTAGCCATGTTAAAACAGCCAACGGGCAAATGGTTGTAGCAGAAACTGAGGATGGCAGAATTGTCAGAGGCCAGTTTGACTACGTGCAACTGAGACCGTCGACCTCGGGTACACACGGTGAATCGGAAGTGCAAACACTGGTGCTAATGTATTCACATGTAGCCGACCCTGAATCACCACTGCAAAAGTCTCTACATCGCTTCACCTACCAACGGCGACAGTGGATCCATTCCAGACAAGATGGTTCAGACCACAGAGGGAAGAAATGATACGCTGTGTCAAATACATGTCGTTTGTGTGTGCGGCCGGCTATCGGCCGTCTGGCATAGCTACTGATTGGTGCTTGTGAATCAGCGTCAATGGGACTCGCCTTTCGCCTGCGCGGAATTTCACTTTTGGTGTTCCTGCCATTTATTAAGCAACCGTGCTTTTCTGATTTCGGCTCGGCGTAACAGCCACCAATTAACTTTTGACACTATAAGCAGTTTGGTCTGCACATTAATTACCATTCAACTCCCTTAGAATATTGCAGTTGTCTTCTCTCCGTGCTGAGCATGTGATTTCGAAACGGATGAAACTCACCAACGGATCGAACGGACACCAAGATCATAGCAGCCACCACGTTGAGCGCTTGAAATGACTCATCGCCCGGAGGAACGGGAATCAACAAGGTGTTGAAGAGGCGCACATTGGGTTGAACGAAGGCCAAAAAGTGTTGTCGTGTGGTGCCGGGTCTGGACAATCGTAGAGGGCCACGAGGTGGCCTCCTCTTCAAACTGGACCTTCGGATAGACGTGGGATGAATGTTCTCGGAGGGATGCGTATCCGATGGTGCTGTGGATGTCAGGTGAAGATCATCTGTGCACAGGGGACGCGCGTCCGACAAGTCGAGGTCTGAGGAGAACTGGCGCATCACATCGACTGCCATATGTGAGTCAAGTGTTTCGGAGTCCGACTTCGCAGCAGGCTAATGACAAAAAGTGGATTCAACAAATGAAATCAGAGACAGTGGATGAAATCCACAACAGTGTAGGTGGATTTCAGGAAGAGGTTAGGCATAACTTTGGTTTACAGCTCTAAGTCCACAATATGAGAAGTATTGGATAATAGAGTAGAGCAGAGGATTGGAGTAAAGATGATATTGATCACCTGAAACTGAACGTTGGGAAATCAGGAGACACGGGGTACGGATGAATGTTGCCCAATGTACTTCGCCCAACTCGGTTTCATAGGACCGAGAGCGCGCGCTAGTAGAAAGAAATAATCGTATCTACGAAAATATGTGCAAGCTTGTTGATTGCTCCGGTCGATCACATCGATGGAAAAGACGGGTATTGAGCTAAGCTCCGCACTGCCGGGCCCCAACCTCGCACTATTGGGGATACGTGATCACACAAAATACACGGGAGGAGCGATATCAAGCAGTTCGCTGTCATCATGAGGTAAATGCAAACGTACCGAGGAAGACCGTGTTTTGTTCACTGCTTCTGGGATAGTGTGCTGTTGCAGGCGAACAACCATTGACTCAGCAGTAGAAAATAAAGTCACTGAGCTCCAGACTCGATGTTGGCGGTCCGCCTCGCTTTCCACGCTGTGATTAGTTACAGACTTAACCCGAGGATATGTCTCGCAAGTGTTCAGGATCAGGGTGCTTACAGTTTATCCATACTGCACAATCACAGACGGCCATTGTGGGAAGATAAGGCGGCATTCTTGCGGATTTCACTGCACAACACCGTAGGCGACTGTGTCCCGCAAAACACAAACATGTGATCCGACTGATGGCTTTCCAAGTGGCGTTCTGTAAGGTTTTGAACTAAACGCAAGATCGGGTGCGTGGACTACAGTTTGGAGGGGAGACCGGCCTTGGTCGGAATGTAACTTCAAAGTTGAAGCCATCTTAGATTCTGCGAAAATTATGAGACGGTGTGTGCGGCAACATGTAAAACGCGTAAGACTCAAAGCAACTCCTTCTGCCTTAACGGACTGACACATTTCATTGTTGCGCACACAATGGTGTCACCCGGTGTGTGAGCAGTGCTTCGCAGTTATGATCGCTGGCAAAAAGACCAGAAGATTCTCGGGGTCTTCAGATTTTGGAGGCCGCCTCCTCCTCGTCGAGAATGGCTTACATTTGCCTCGTTTATATGTCTTTTAAAGTGGTGGACAATTGCTCCTGACACCAAATGAGTTAAAAGATAGTTAAATCGAATCCTTGGAATAGTGAAGAAATGAGACAACTGCGACAGCTGCGACAGCTGGTTTCCGCCCATGCAAACTGTCGGTGCATCAGACGAGGATGCGCGCTTGCAGGCAATCAATCGTTATGGTGGAAGTTGCACACTGACTGTGCCGCATAGTCTGGTTAACGAACCGCCCAGCCAGGTAAATAGCATTCTCCATACTAGGGAGATATTTCTGTCAACGATGAGCATAATGAATCAAACGATGGATTGGGATAACACTAGTTCGAGAGATATGGGAGTCGATGGTGAAATAACATACTATCGATAGAAACTAGGTATTAAAGAGAAGCGCTCAAACTAGCATGGATAAAATATGAAAAGTGAGAAACAGCCGAGTGAAAAATCACACGTACCCGCTGTGGTCGTATCGTGGTTTGTGAAGTTTTTGCTTCGGTTCGCGAGTCGCTGTGGTTCCCAGGCGATATATCTGAAGGCTGTGGAGGATTCACGATGGATGGACCCAGTGAATTCAGTGGTGTGTGTGGGGGTGGAGGTGAGTAGAATATTCGAAGCACCTGCCGATGTGCACGGAACACAGAGGGCTCGAGACCTGAAAAGAGAGGGGAACGGATACGCAATAATGGACTGACGAAGGTGGACTAGAGAGGGGAAAAACTTGGCTTGCAAAAGTGCTGCAAGAAACCATGTGGACATACTGCAACAAGGGTACAAACTTAGCATGCTAGCTAAACATTTGAGTCGGAGCACAAAGTCCATGAAGTATTTTGACATGGAGGTTTAACGCTAAATGTCCCCGTTTGTAGCATAAGTATGGGTTAAGTGGGTGTTGATCACATTCCACTAAAGTAACGGGCAATGGGCCGGTCTTCGATCTTAAATGCGTGCTTTAACGCTAGTTTCCGTTAACATGTTCATTCGTAATATGGCCAATGTGGTCAGCGATCCACGAAGATACACAAAGAGACGCCATTTTCATTCAAAGATTTAATCTGGATGGTCCTTGTGTTGTCCGAAAGCAGTGAAAACTAGCAGACGAAAGAAAAACACTTGAAATCAAACGATCTCGCCGCCAAGTTCACAGGCACCATGAAACCCAAAGATGTTAAGCATCCCCTGCTAAGCGAAGAGAAAGAGCACGTGTAACATAACCAATCCGACAGAAGATAGTTGAGAAGGCCGTGATATCCTTGCCGTCGACAATTCTGACACGTAAAGGATGCTTTACCACAGTTAGGCTCAGCTACACAACCGCAACACATGGGAAAGAGCAATAGACGGATAACTTGTTGATTTGGAACTCGTAAGTAGCATGCCTTCCTCCGACTACTCCCTGATCCGAGCCCACAACCGTGGGTGGCGATGATGGTATGACTGGCTAATTTAGTAACTACAATACAGCGCGCATCATTCTCCACACTAATAGGCATGGAACCGTCGTGCAGAAGGTAGGATTCGACCTCGGAGGCACAACTTCACGCTCAGCCACCAACCAGTTCGCTGTTCTACAAACTACTTATGCTTAGTAGAGAGATTCAAGTTTCGGGCTCCTTTAACCAGCCCTCTAGATTGGTTTTTTGACTACAAGTTAGTAGAGAGTTTTAACGCGATTACT